TACAAAAGCTTATAGCCTTACAACACTACCCTGATGGTTCACACCCAGAGTTTCCCAGACTGTGTAATCTCCACAAACCCAGTCTGGGTTGGGAGGAAACTAAGAGTTGAGGTTAGGTGCCGAATGTCGGTTTAACTCTGTACCCAGAGTAGATCCCAGAGTTGTGAAATTGATTGTTAAGCAAATGTTAAATATTGTTTCAGAGATGGAAGGCAGGGAGGGGGGAATAATAACATTGTTAGAGTGATTCTGGGGTCAATTTCTTATGTAGGAGTGATGCCAAAGGGCATTTCAACAATGTTATGTAAACTCTGGGTTTAACTCTGGACACAGTCTTGATCCCAGAGTGTTACTTTTTATTGTTGAACAATTTGTTAATGTTGTTGAATAAAGAGGTGAGGGAGGGCAGGTGGTTACATGACATTATTGAAATGATTCTAGAGTCAATTTCCCAGTTAGACAAGTTGCTGGAGATTATTTCAACAATATTAAGGCAGCTCTGGGTTTTTATCTGGGTACAGTCCTAATCCCAGAGTTGTATTATTATTGCTGAACAAGTTGTACATTTCATTGAATGAAGAGGTGGAGGAGGAGAGGTGGTCTTATGACATTATTGAAGGGTCAATTTCTCCTCTAGGGGAGAGAACAAAGGTCATTTCATCAATGTAATGACAACTCTGGGTTTAACTCTGGGATCAAGACTGTCCAGAGCTAAACCCAGAGTTGTTATTACATTATTAAAATGACCTTTGTTCTCTCCTCTAGAGGAGAAATTGACCCTTCAATAATGTCATTGAATCACCTCTCCTCCCCCGCGTCTTCATTCAATGACATTTACAACTTGTTCAGCAATAATAATACAACTCTGGGATTAAGACTGTTTTCTCGAAAACTATCGGAGCGATCGGGCTAAAATTTTGCCTAGAGCTAGTCCTGATTAGGACCTATAATCTGACGAAATATCACATTTTTTGGAATTACTTTAGCCACTTAATTACTCAATTTTCTCAAAATTGACCACCGGGAAGGAGGCGGTGGATGTGGTTACATACCGACATGGTCGCCAAACTTCGTATCTTTTTTCGTTTCAGACCATTTGAAATTATTTCCAATGAAAATTAGGGTATGTGAAAATCGTAGGATTGCAATGCTTCCATTCGGAACCAAAAAATCGTTATTGTCTGTGCAAGAAAAAAATGTAATTTCTAGCAGTACTTCTTTGTGATTCGATACTCCCATACATATCTTGGTGTCAGTAATTCCTAATTTTATATGAAACAAAGAGTCGAAATCAGTCACTTTTTAGTGGATCTCACACCGTCAAGTATCAGAGGTTTTAGAGTTATCAGCACGTCGAATTTTTACCGGATGGAGTTGCAAGAGAAAACCGCAATTATTTTTTTTCAGAAAGATCCTCATATTCAAGCGGAATCAAATATTCACGTAGTGTCAAAACATTGAATGTTCATATGCTAATTTTTATGATAAATCATCCCGCTAAATATAAATTTTATTCGAGCCCCCTCTCCTGCGCCAGTCTGGTCAAAGCCCCGCCTCTTTGATCCAGAACCGGCTTAGAATATCTACTCTTATGTGCGCAATTGAAAGAATTTCCGGAGGGGGGGTCAACTTTAGACAGCAGCTTTACCCCCAAACCCGCATATTAACCGCATATTAGCCGATAAAAAATCATACCTCTTCCTCAGTTTTGAGTCCTCTATAACCGACAGAAATGTTATCAAAATCGGAGACGGACACTTACCTTGGGTTGCTTGTTAGATTTCGAATGTTATTGTCTTTCTCCCAAAACTTGATTTACATTTTTTTTCATTCTATTAATTTCAATATTCCTACATTTCAATTTTCATTTTGTCAGTCATTCTCATTCCGAACTTTCTTTGTTCAAAATTCGATGAGTTTATCCTACTTGGGAATCCGGTTATCTCGTTTAGTATGGAATAGTTCCTAATCCCATCTGGCCCCGGGCAGTGCTCGATTGACTATCCCCAAAACCCTGAAACGTGTTTATTCCCTGGGGTACGCTTGAGCACTCTTCTATCGCCTTCATCGCTAAGTGAAAAAGAATGATATTACCGAGAGGCTAACTTCACGGGTCGACGCCCCATACGATGATCAATTTATCTCTGTTTCCCACATGTGTAACTCCCCTCATGTATAATCATATATAGTTTCCTAATTTATACAAGTTGGTGCATTGCTGGATCTAACCCTGAATCATTTCACTGTTGACTGACTTCTTGAATGAACATTCCCTATTTTGACATAGAACGAAAATAAATGAATTTGTTTTTCTGCAGATAGTATTGCGCTACTTGGTGTTGGCGTCCGAGCCGACGGCCCCCACATGAGTAAAAAACCCCGTCGCGGCAGTCCGGGATAAGATTTTTTTGCAGTGATTTTCAAGTTTTCGATTTTGGGAAGTATGCAATACCAATTTTTTGACGAGAAATCGTGAAAAGCAGTACGGAAAAATACTTTTCATCATCGACTCCTTTCTTGACTCACATGAAGTCCACATCAACCTATATCGAAATACGGTACCCGTGCGACGTTTGTCTGTTGCGGGTATGAGTCAGATAAATATCTTATGATTAATGCAGTCATTATTATTAAGCAGGAATAAATATTGTCAGGCCATTTTGGAATTGTCGTATTTTGAAAGCCCACGGAAATGTAACCAAACAATAAAACAAAAACTTCCGCAAGATCCCTGACGAACCCCCCCCCCCCCCCCC